TCCACAGATATATAAATTTCACTTGCCTAGTTTCCAACAGACCTCACAACCTCTGAGGATGCCTGCCATAGATGTGGGCAAAACGTCAGGAGAGAATGCTGCTGGAACATGGCCAGCTCACAGCAACCCAGTGATTCCAGCCATGAAAGCCTTTTACAACACAAAGTAAATAGTAATAATCATTATTAATAATAATGTATATTCTTTGAACATTTTCTTCTCGTAGAGATGTTCAATTTGGTGTCGAAAGGCTTTCCAACACACTTCACAACCTCTGAGGATGCCTGCCACAGATGTGGGCGAAACGTCAGGAGAAAATGCTCATGGAACATGGCCGGAAAGCCTGGAAAACTCACAGCAAGCCATTTGTGTGAGCCTTCGTATGTCACTCATACTGCTTTCATGGTGGGAGTTGTTGTGAAATGGGAAATGTTGTTATTGTTGTGTACCGGGAAATGTGAAATGTTGTATTGTTGTTATTATTGCTTGTATATTTGTATTTGGGCTTGGCCTCATGTAAACCGCACCAAGTCCCTTGGGGAGATGGTAGCGGGGTATAAATATTATTATTATTATTATTATTATTATTATTATTGGTGATTATAGTTATTATTTACTTCAATTTCACCCCACCTTTCCATCAGCATCAGGACTACATTTCACTACCCTGGCATTGTCCCAAATAATAATAATCATCATCATCATCATCATCTGTTCAATCTCTATTGTGTATCACTCAGGTTTGAAAAACAATGTTTATGGTTTCTCCACCTACTAGATAAGCTATACGGTACTATGTAAGTATTTTTAATTATATTCTAATTCACTGCCAGAGGTGGAAAGATGTTTTTTTCTCCCCATCTTTTTCTCCAACACAAAAGCTTCACTTATTATGGGATTGTTGATAGTCAAATGCAGTGTGATGTGAATGCGAATCATCCCCACTACCGTGCTACAAAGCTCGGAAAACTGGGTTCCATACCCTTATAAAGGCAAAATGGCACTAATTTAGTTCTCTAACAAATGGCTGCCTGAAAGCTTATACCAGGCATGGGCAAACTTCAGCCCTCCAGGTATTTTGGACTTCAACTCCCACAATTCCTAAGCTTAAGCCACTCCGGGGGGAAAGGAAAGTGCTTGTGGCTGTTAGGAATTGTGGGAGTTGAAGTCCAAAACACCTGGAGGTCTCAAGCTGGCCCATGTCTGCTATAGATTGTGTTGCAGTTCAGGTATAGGTGTCCAAATACCTGAAAAAGCACTGATATTGGAAGCTATGCAGGATCAACTCTGGTTAGGACTTGGAGGGGAGACTGCCCATGCTGTGGGGTATATTTCAGAGTAAAGAAGAAGCAAAATTAGTATTTCTTTGCTTATGAAAACCTTCACAAAGGCCATTTATTTATTTACGGCATTTATATCTTGCCCTTCTCACCCCGAAGGGGACTCAGAGCAACTTACAAGTTATATGGTTTTAATTGTGTTGTGTTTATTGTTAATGTTTACTGTTTGATTTTTATTTACTGCTGTATTGTTGTTGTCTTTTATTGTTGTATTGGGTCTTGGCCTATTGTAAGCTGCACCGAGTCCTTTGGGAGATGGTAGCAGGGTATAAATAAAGGTTTATTATTATTGTTATTTATATGCACAGCACAATATTAGTATTATATATTACTATATTGTACTATACCACTATTCTGTAATATCAGTACTATTACATGCAACATAAAATACATAATTATATTGTATTATTATTACTATATTATATTACATTATAGGTAAGTAAAGGTTTTCCCCTGACATTGTGTCCAACTCTGAGGCTTGGTGCTCACTATATTGTATTACACCACTATACTGTAACACTGTTAGTAATATTACACGTAATATAAAATATATAATTATAGTGTAGTATTAGTATTATATTGTATTACATTATAATATCAATATTATATGTGTATACAATATATTATATTATTAGCACAGCACATTACTATTATATATCACTATATTGTACTATAACACTATACTGTAATATTATTAGTAATACTATATGTAACATCAAACATATATAATTATTATATTTTATCATGAGTATAATATTATCAATATTATATGTGTATACAATATGTTATATTATTTGCATAGCACAATATTAGGTAAAGGTAAGGGTTTCTCCCTGATATTAAGTCCGGTCGTGTCCAATTCTGGGGGTTGGTGCTCATCTCCATTTCTAAGCTGAAGAGCACGTTGTACGTAGATACCTCCAAGGTCATGTGGCCGGCATGACTGCATGGAGTGCCGTTACCTTCCTGCTGGAGTGGTACCTATTGATCTACTCACATATTATTATGTGGCGGGCATAACTGTATGGCGTATATATGTATACAATACATTATATTATTAGCACAGCAAAATATTAGTATAATATACCACTATACTGCACTATACAACTATACTGTACTATTATTAATAATATCACATGTAATATAAAATATATAATTATATTGTATTATTGTTATTATACTGTGTTCCATTTTAATATCAATATTATATGTGTATACAATATATATTATATTATTAGCACAGCACAATATTAGTATCATATATCACTATATTGTACTATACATATATACTGTACTATTATTAATAATATTACATGTAATATAAAATATATAATTATATTGTATTATTCGTATTATAGTGTGCTACATTTTAATATCAATATTATATGTGTATACAATATATTGTATTATTAGCACAGCACAATATTAGTATTATATATCACTATATTGTACTATAACACTATTCTGTAATATTATTAGTAATATTACATGTAATATGAAATAAATAATTATATTGTATTATTGGTATTATGCATATATAATTATATTGTATATTAGTATTCTACTGTGTTACATTTTAATATCAATATTATATGTGTATACAATATATATTATATTATTAGCACAGCACAATATTAGTATTATATATCACTATATTGTACTATAACACTATACTGTAATATTATAATATAAAATATAAAATTATATTGTATTATTGGTATTATACTATGTTCCATTTTAATATCAATATTATATGTGTATACAATATATTATATTATTAGTACAGCACAATACTAGTATTATATATCACTACATTGTACTATAACACTATACTGTAATATTATATGTCATATAAAATATAAAATTATATTACATTATTGGTATTATACTGTTACATTTTAATATCAATATTATATGTGTATACAATATATTATATTATTAGCACAACACAATATTAGTATATCACTATATTGTACTATAACACTATACTGTAATATTATTTGAAATATTACGTGTAATATAAAATATATAATTCTATTGTATTACTGGTATATTATATGTGTATACAATACATATTATGTTATTAGCACAGCACAATATTAGTATTATATATCACTATATTGTACTATAACACTATGCTGTAATATTATATGTAATATAAAATATAAAATTATATCGCATTATTGGTATGATATTGTGTTACATTTTAATATCAATATTATATGTGTATACAATATATATTATATTATTAGTACAGCACAATATTAGTATAATGTATCACTATATTGTACTATAACACTATACTGTAATATGATATGTAATATATCACTATACTGTACTATACAACTATAATGTAATATTATTAGTAATATAAAATATATAATTATACTGTATTATTAGTATTGTACTGTGTTACATTTTAATATCAATATTATATGTGTATACAATATATTGTATTATTAGCACAGCACAATATACCTTTTTTAACCTTTAATATACATGTCAGCTTATCATTTATTGCTAATTTCCATGCTTCCTTATATCACTCCTCTATTTGTATATTCATTTTTTTCCAATTCCTTGCTATTAGCAATCTTGCTATTGTTAATAAATTTGTTATCGCTTCTTTATTCTCCTTTTTCAATTGCTTCTTATTATAATAATGATAATAAAGCTATACTAGGACTATTATCAATTTTAATATTCATTATATCTTCTATTTCTCTAAATACCTTCTCCCAAAAGTTATTTACATATTTACATTGCCACCACATGTGTATATATGTTCCTGGTTCTTGACACCCTCTCCAACAATTTATTGAGTTATTTTTATTCATATATGCTATTCTTACTGGTGTCAAATACCACTTCCATATTAACTTGTAATAATTTTCTTTAACCCGTATGTGTATGTGTATACAATATATTCTATTGTTAGCACAGCACAATATTAGTAATATTGTTATTGCTTTGTTTTTTGAGTTATTGTGTTGTTGTTGTTGCTACTGTTTTATTGTTGTATTTGGGCTCGGCCTCTTGTTAGCTGCACCGAGACCTTCGGGAGATGGTAGCGGGGTACAAATAAAGGTTTATTATTATTGTTATTACTGTTATTACATATCACTATATTATACTATAACAGTATTCTGTAATATTATTAGTAATATTACATGTAACATATTACATGTAACATTACTAATAATATTACAAATATTATAATTATATTGTATTATAATATATAATTATATTATATTATTAGTATTATATTGTATATTAGTATGATACTGTGTTACATTTTAATATCAATATTGTATGTGTATACAATATATTGTATTATTAGCACAGCACATGGGGAAGGGAGATATGGTGGAGTTCTGTCTTCTTGGCTCTCCTTCTTTACTCTATATTTGCCATTAATTTCTGCATCAATGCAGAGCAATAACATACCTGGCTCTGTCCCAACTGAGAAGCCAAGGTTTGGCTGTTCTCCTCCAGGTGTTTGGTTAGACTGCTTCAAAGGGGGTCGTGTGCCTTTAAGAGGGTTTCCCGTTAAGCCCCGCCCACCTCCTCCTCCTCCCTCGCGCCCACCAGCAGGCTGTTCCAGCCACCCTCCCCCCGGCTGTTCCTTTCCCCTCGTCGCCCGCCCCCCGCTCCCCTTACCCGCACAGGCTTGGTGGGCTCCTTTCGCGTCTCGCCCGCCTCCCGGTTCCGAGGAGCCGCTCCCGGCAGAGGAAGAAATATACGGAGATTGGGTCGCGGGCTCAGCCATGTCGTCGGGCGGGAGGGGACAAAAAGGAAGCCTCTAATCAACCGAGCGACCGCTCCTCTCAACGGACAGGCGCCGACTGACAGAAACGAAAAAGAGCAAGGATGGAACTGAGCATGCGCAGTAGCGCGATCAGTAGAGGAGGGGGGAAGAGAGCGGGCGTGTCGCGCAGGCGCACAACAGAGGTAGGCGTGTCAAGGCGCCCTCTCGCCGAGCATTTGGGAACTCCCTCGAGCTTCTTCTCTCGCCTGCCCTCCCTCCCTCCGTGCGCGTGCGCAGAACAAGCTGGGGCGAGGCTAGTGTGAAAGCTCGCCTCAGCCGGGCCAGTCTCGCGCGTGACTGGCCCCGCTTGTGACGTCTGCGCCTGCGCGTTCCTAGGAGGAGTGGGATAAACCATTCTGGGAAAAAAGGGGGGGAACGGGACAGGTTATGTATGGGATCTTTGAAATCAATCCTTTGATGTGTAGAAAAGAAATAAACACTCCGCAATTGTTTTGTCTTCATCAGCATTCTCCAAATATTATTATTTTCTTATTTACTATTAATAATTATTTTAATATTAATTAAAAATAACTGATTATTATTATTATTTATTAATATTAAAATAATTATTAATTAATAATTAATTATTAGTATTATTTTCTTATTTACTATTAATAATTATTTTTAATATTAATTAATAATTAATTATTAATTAATATTAAAATAATTATTAATAGTAAATAAGAAAATAATAATTATTTATTTATTTATTTATTTATTTAATACACTTGTATACCGCTAATATCTCAGCCTAAATCGGCGACTCATTGCGGTTTACAGCAATTAAAAACAATTTAAAACAACAACACGTAAACAATACAAATTATTGGGCCACCAATAATAATACCATGCTTCTCGTCACAAAAATCACAGTCCAGAGTTCGTCATCCATAGTTAACCAGTCCTTAGTCTATAAATTCAATAGTAACAAACTAATTGAATGCTTGTTTACACAACCATGTTTTTAATCTCTTCCGAAAGACCATCAGCGAAGAGGCTGATCGTATCTCTATAGGGAGGGTGTTCCAAAGCCGAGGGGCCACCACAGAGAAGGCCCTGTCTCTCGTTCCCGCCAGCCGCACCTTGGGAAGCCGGTGGGATAGAGAGCAGGGACTCTCCAGAAGATCTTAGGGTCCTGGTGGGCTGATAGGCTGAGATACGTTCGGATAGATAAGTTGGGCCAGAACCGTTTAGGGCTTTAAAGGCCAACGCCAGCACTTTGAATTGAGCCCGGTAGCAGATCGGCAGCCAGTGGAGCTGGTGCAGCAAGGGAGTTGTATGCTCCCTGCGCCCCGCTCCTGTTAGAATCATGGCTGCCGCCCGTTGGACTAACTGGAGCTTCCGGACTGTCTTCAAAGGCAACCCCACGTAGAGAGCGTTGCAGTAATCAAGGCGGGATGTAACCAGAGCGTGGACTACCGTGGCTAAGTCAGACTTCCCAAGGTACGGTCGCAGTTGGCGCACAAGTTTTAATTGTGCGAATGCTCCCCTGGTCACCGCCGAAACCTGGGGTTCCAGGCTCAGCGATGAGTCCAGGATCACACCCAAGCTGCGAACCTGCGTCTTCAGGGGGAGTGCGACCCCATCCAACACAGGCTGTAACCCTATGCCCTGTTCGGCCTTACGACTAACCAGGAGTACCTCTGTCTTGTCTGGATTCAATTTCAATTTGTTCGCCCCCATCCAGACCGTCACAGCGGCCAAGCACCGGTTCAGGACCTCGACAGCCTCCTTAGTAGCAGGTGGAAAGGAGTGACAGAGTTGGACATCATCTGCGTACAGATGACATCTCACTTCGAAACTCCGGATGATCTCGCCCAGTGGCTTCATGTAGATGTTAAACAACATGGGAGACAGTATTGAACCCTGGGACCCCACAAGACAATGGTTGTGGGGTTGAGCAGGAATCTCCCAACAACACCTTCTGGGAACGACCCTCTAGGAAGGACCGGAGACACTGCAGAACAGTACCTCCAAGACCCATCCCCGCGAGGCGTCCCAGAAGGATACCGTGGTCGACGGTATCGAAGGCCGCTGAGAGGTCGAGCAGCACCAACAGGGACACACTCCCCCTGTCGAGCTCCCGACGCAGATCATCCACTAAGGCGACCAAGGCTGTCTCGGTACCATGCCCCGGCCTAAAGCCAGACTGTGCCGGATCCAGATAATCTGTGTCTACCAAGAATGCCTGGAGTTGTGAGGCCACCACACGTTCCATGACTTTGCCCAAAAAGGGGAGATTGGAAACAGGCCGATAGTTGACGAATTGAGTGGGGTCCAGTGATGGTTTCTTCAACAGCGGTTTTATCACAGCTTGCTTTAAGCTGGCTGGAATTTTGCCCTCCCGAAGGGAGGCATTAACCACCACCTTCACCCACTCGGCCAATCCCCCTCTGGCCTCCTTTAGAAGCCAGGATGGGCAGGGGTCTAGGATGCATGTGGTAGCTCTCATTCCTCCAAGCACCTTGTCCACATCCTCGGATTGAACCAATTGAAATGAATCCATCAAACCCGGACAAGCAGATGCTCGTGTTACATCCTCAGATACTGCCGTTAATATGGTATCCAGTCCAGAGCGGATCAAAGCGACTTTGTCTGCGAAGAACCGAGCAAAAGCTTCGCAGCGAGCTGCCGAGTCATCAGGGCACCCATCCTGAGTGGCGGGTTTTAATAGGCCTCTGACAACTCGGAACAGTTCAGCCGGACGGTTCTTCGCAGACGCAATAGTGGCCGCAAAGAAAGTTTTCTTTGCGGCTTTTATTGCCGCGGCATATGCCCTTAAAAAGGACACAAACCGTGTTCGATTTGGCTCGCTCGGATCCGAACGCCACACGCTCTCTAGTTCCCTCTTCTTTCGCTTCAGCGCTGCCAGCTCCTCGGTGAACTATTAATTAATAATTATTTTTAATATTAATAATAATATTTTTAAATATTAATTAATAATAATAATTAATTAATTAATAATTAATATTGAAATAATTATTAATAGTAAATAAAATAATAATATTTGGAGAATGCTGATTAAGACAAAACAATTGTGGAGTGTTTACTTCATTAATTAATCCGCAATTGTTTTGTCTTAATCAGCATTCTCCAAATATTATCATTTTCTTATTTACTATTAATAATTATTTTAAATATTAATTAATATTAATTCATTAATTATTATTAATTATTATTAAAAGTAATTATTAATATTAAATAAGAAAATAATAATATTTGGAGAATGCCGATTAAGACAAAACAATTGTGGAGTGTTTACTTCATTAATTAATCCGCAATTGTTTTGTCTTAATCAGCATTCTCCAAATATTATTGTTTTCTTATTTACTATTAATAATTATTTTAATATTATTAATAATTAATGAATTATTATTAATTAATATTAAAATAATTATTAATAGTAAATAAGAAAATAATAATAATATTTGGAGAATGCTGATTAAGACAAAACAATTGCGGATTAATTAATTAATTATAATTATTAATTAATCATTAATTAATTATTATTAATAATAATAATAAGGGAGCCCCCGGTGGCGCAGTGGGTTAAAGCACTGAGCTGCTGAGCTTGTTGATCGAAAGGTCGCAGGTTCGATTCCGGGGAGCGGCGTAAGCTTCCGCTGTCAGCCCTAGCTTCTGCCAACCTAGCAGTTCGATAACATACATATGTGAATAGATCAATAGGTACCGCTCCGGCGGGAAGGTAACAGCACTCCATGCAGTCATGCCGGCCACATGACCTTGGAGGTGTCTATGGACAACGCTGGCTCTTCGGCTTAGAAATGGAGATGAGCACCACACCCCAGAGTCAGACATGACTGGACTTAATGTCAGGGGACTACCTTTACCTTTAATAATAATAATCTGTTTTATTGACTATTCTAAAGCCTTTGACTGTGTGGATCATCATAAATTGTTGCAAGTTTCTTGCTGGTATGGCCATATCAAATCCCCTTCCCTCTCTCCTGAGGAATCTGTACAAGGACCAAGTAGCAACAGTCAGAACCGAGCACGGAACAACAGACTGGTTCAAGATTGGGAAAGGTGTACAGCAGGCTTGCATCCTCTCACCCAACCTATTGAACTTGTATGCGACATGCGGGGCTTGACGAATGCAAGGCTGAGGTGAAAATTGCTGGAAGAAACATTAACAACCTTAGATATGCAGATGATACCACTTTGATGTCCAAAAGCTAGGAGGAGCTGAGGAGCCCTCTAATCAAGGTGAAAGAAGAAAGCGCAAAAGCTGGGTTGCAGCTAAACAACCTATAAAGCCCTAAACGACTCCGGCCCTGTTTACCTCTCCGAACGTATTCTCCCCTATGAACCATCAAGATTATTAAGATCGTCTGGAGAGGCCCTGCTCTCGGTCCCACCGGCCTCGCAAGCGCGTCTGGTGGGGACGAGGGACAGGGCCTTCTCAGTGGTGGCCCCTCGACTCTGGAACTCTCTCCCACTGGAGATCAGAACCACCCCGTCTATCCTGACATTTAGGAAACAGGTGAAGACTTGGTTATGGAGACAGGCATTCGACGAGTGAGCCAACACCCTGAGATATGGATGGAGGAGGATGAGCAACGATGTTAGTGTGATGTCTGACCATTATAGTTATTGATTGTAATTGCTGTTTTAATGTTTTACTGTAATATGTATTATGATGTTTTATTGATTGTATGTGATATTATGGTTGGAAACCGGTCTGAGTCCCTCAAGAGAGGTGAGAAGGCCGGTATACAAAACTTTTAAATTGATTAATTAATTAATTTTTAAAAACTCAAGATTATGGCAACAAGAATGATTGACAACTGGGAAATAGAGGGAGAAAACGTGGAGGACGAGACAGACTTTGTATTTCTAGGTGCAAAGATGACTGCAGACGCAGACGGTGGCCAGGAAATCAGAAGACGCTTCCTTCTTGGGAGGAGAGCAATGTCCAATCTCGATAAAATAGTGAAGAGTAGAGACATCAGACTGGCAACAAAGATCCATTGCCTAGTCAAAGCCATGGCATTCCCTGTAGTCACCTACGGATGTGAGAGCTGGACCTTCGGGACGGAAGAGAGATGCTTTTGAGCTGTGGTGTTGGAGGAAAGTGCTGAGAGTGCCTTGGACTGCGAGAAGATCCAACCAGTCCATCCTCCAGGAAATAAAGCCCGACTGCTCACTGGAGGGAAGGAGACTAGAGACAAAGTTGAAGTACTTTGGCCACATCATGAGAAGAAAGGAAAGCTTTGAGACGACAATGATGCTGGGGGAAGTGGAAGGTAAAAGGAAGAGGGGCCGACCAAGGACAAGATGGATGGATGGCATCCTTGAAGTGACTGGACTGACCTTGAAGGAGCTGGGGGTGGTGACGGCCGGCAGGGAGCTCTGGCGTGGGCTGGTCCATGAGGTCACGAAGAGTCGGAGACGACTGAACGAATGAACAGCATCATTAACATTACAAGGGTGTTTGCATTGAGAAGGGTGGCATATAAATGTCGTAAATAAATTATTAATAAATAAAGCAGAAGACAGCGTTGCCATGGAGACACTGTGAAGTAGGAAACCAGAGCTGGAAAAAGGAGAAAGCAGGCAGATCTTAGTGATATCAATCATATAGGAGGGGAAATGATTTATTTATTTATGACATCTATATAGAATCATAGAATCCTAGAGTTGGAAGAGACCTCCTGGGCCATCCAGTCCAACCCCATTCTGCCAAGAAGCAGGAATATTGCATTCAAATCACCCCTGACAGATGGCCATCCAGCCTCTGCTTAAAAGCTTCCAAAGAAGGAGCCTCCACCACACTCCGGGGCAGAGAGTTCCACTGCTGAACGGCTCTCACAGTCAGGAAGTTCTTCCTCGTGTTCAGATGGAATCTCCTCTCTTGTAGTTTGAAGCCATTGTTCCATTGCGTCCTAGTCTCCAAGGAAGCAGAAAACAAGCTTGCTCCCTCCTCCCTGTGGCTTCCTCTCACATATTTATACATGGCTATCATATCTCCTCTCAGCCTTCTCTTCTTCAGGCTAAACATGCCCAGTTCCCTAAGCCGCTCCTCATAGGGCTTGTTCTCCAGACCCTTGATCATTTTAGTCGCCCTCCTCTGGACACATTCCAGCTTGTCAACTCAACAAAAAAGCTCCTGTTTTGTAGCAGTTTTCCTATGAGGCGGGTGAGGTGGTCATCCTTTGTGATATTAATGATAATAATAAGCCTGAATGATGAGAAGGACTTAAATCAGGAAGAGAAAGGAGAGCTGATAAGTTGTGAAAAGGTAAACAAGCAGGGGGGACTACATCTCCCAGCATGCCCTTCGCCAGCCTCGCTCCAAGCAGCCGTTGCAACGGTCTCTCCTTGCCATCCGCCTCTTCTGAGTGGCCGCAAAGGTTGCCGGGAGTCGTAGTTGGCAGACGTCGCTGGGAACAGGCTCATCGGGCGAGGGGAGGCGCCACTGGGACTACATTTCCCGGCATGCCTTAGCACCCAAGGGCCCTCCCTTCGCTCCTTCGGCTTTGATGGGATGGGAGCGAGGCGGGAAGCAGGCGGGTCACTTCTCCGTCGGCTGCAGCTGAGAAAGACTTCAAGCTGGAGGCGGCCGGTAAGCCTTGGAGGTCTTCACCACGTGATTGCATCCTCACTGTAGAGTTGATGCGGTTTAACACCGCTTTAACTTCCAGAACTCAATGCTGTGGGATCCTGGTCCTGTGGGGGGTGGGTATATGCACTAAAACCTTGTAAAACTTTGGCAAAATGGGCTGAGGACCTCGGGAAACTACAGTTCCCACGAGTTCTGTGATTTCAGGGGGAATCTGGGAGCAGTAGTTTGGTAAAGCACCAAATCCCTTTGGAAAGGCCTTGGGAAACTACAATTCCCACGAGTTCTACGATTTCAGGGGGAATCTGGGAGCTGTAGTTTGGCAAGGCACCAAACCCCTTTAGAAAGGCCTTGGGAAACTACAATTCCCACGAGTTCTGTGATTTCAGGAGGAATCTGGGAGCTGTAGTTTGGCAAGGCACCAAACCCCTTTGGAAAGGCCTTGGGAAACTACAATTCCCACGAGTTCTATGATTTCAGGGGGAATCTGGGAGCTGTAGTTTGGCAAGGCACCAAAACCCTTGGGAAAGGCCTTGGGAAACTACAACTCCCAGGATCCCATAGCATATAAAGTTATAAGCTATTGAAGTTGTAGTTCCCCGAGGTCTTTTACCCCATTCTTGCCACCAAAACCCATTGGCATGAAGGGCGAAAGGCCTTGGGAAACTAAAACTCCCAGGATCCCACAGCGTAAAAAAGTATAACCCATCGAAGTTGTAGTTCCCCAAGGTCTCAAATCCCTTTCTTGCCACCAAAACCCATTAGCATGAAGAGCGAAAGGCTTTGGGAAACTACAACTCCCAGGATCCCATAGCAAATAAAATTATAAGCTATTGAAGTTGTAGTTCTCCGAGGTCTCAAACCCCTTGGGAAACTACAACTCCCAGGATCCTATAGCATATAAAGTTATAAGCCATCGAAGTTTTAGTTCCCCAAGCTCTCAAACCCCTTTCTTGCCACCAAAACCCATGTGGCATGAAGGACGAAACACCTTGGGAAACTACAACTCCCAGGATCCCATAATGTATAAAATTATAAGCCATTGAAGTAGTAGTTTCCCAAGGTCTCTAATCCCCTTCTTGCCACCAAAACCCTTTGGCAGAAAGGGCTAAAGGCCTTGGGAAACTACAACTCCCAGGATCCCACAGCGTAAAAAAGTATAAGCCATCGAAGTTGTAGTTTCCCAAGATCTCAAATCCCTTTCTTGCCACCAAAACCCATTGGCATGAAGGGTGAAAGGCCTTGGGAAACTACAACTCCCAGGGTCCCATAGCATTTAAAATTATAAGCCATCGAAATTGTAGGTTCCCAAGGTTTCAAACCCTTTCTTGCCACCAAAACCCTTTGTCAGAGAGAGTGAAAGGCCTTGGGAAACTACAACCCCCAGGGTCCCATAGGATTTAAAATTATAAGCCATCAAAGTTGCAGGTTCCCAAGGTTTCAAACCCCTTTCTTGCCATCGAAACCCATTGTCGGAGAGAGTGAAAGGCCTTGGGAAACTACAACTCCCAGGATCCCATAGCATTTAAATTCAGAAGTTGTTTCCCAAGGTCTCTAACCCCCTTCTGGCCACCAAAACACTTTGGAAGAAAGGGCTAAAAGTCTTGGGAAACGACAACTCCCATGACTTTCTGGGGTGCTATATTATCCTGGGAGTTGTAGTTTTTGAAGGTATTTAGACTTCTCTGCCCAAGAAGACTAGTGCCTCACCAAAATAATATATCTTTTAGAGACCTTGCGTCGTCGTCATCATCATCATCATTATTATTATTAATGCTGTAGTTTAAGAGGCCGATGCTAAACAAGCTTGCTCCAAAATAAGTTGTGTGATGTTTGGGACTTCAACTCCCACAATTCCTAACAGCTGAAGTTTCCCCATGCCTGATCTACAGAGCAGAATTAATGCAGTTTGACTGCACTTTAACAGCCATGGCTCAATACAATGTAGTGGGTTGTTGTAGGTTTTTTCGGGCTATATGGCCATGGTCTAGAGGCATTCTCTCCTGACGTTTCGCCTGCATCTATGGCAAGCATCCTCAGAGGTAGTGAGGATGCTTGCCATAGATGCAGGTGAAACATCAGGAGAGAATGCCTCTAGAACATGGCCATATAGCCCGGAAAAAAATACAACAACCCAGAGATTTCGGCCATGAAAGCCTTCGACAATACATTAATACAATGTAGTTTTACAAGGTCTATAGCTTTCCTTCCAAGGATTCCATAGCATTTATTTATTTATTATTTACTAGCCGTTCTTTGTGAGAGGTTTACTACATGGAGGTTCTTTGTGGGAGGTTTAGCCCAATTCTATCGTTGATGGGGTTCAGAATGCTCTGTGATTGTAGGTGAACTATACATCCCAGCAACTACAACTCCCAAATGTCAAGATTCTATTTCCCCCGAACTCCACCAGTGTTCACATTTGGGCATATTGAGTATTCGTGTAGAGTTTGGTCCAGATCCATCATTGTTTGAGTCCACAGTGATCTCTGGATGTAGGTGAACTACAACTCCAAAACCAAAGGACACTGCCCGCCAAACCCTTCCAGTATTTTCTGTTGAGCGTGGGAGAACTGTGTGCCAAGTTTGGTTCAATTCCATCATTGCTGAGGTTCAGAATGCTCCTTGGTTGTAGGTGAAATATAAATCCCAGGAACTACAACTCCCAAATGTCAAGATTCTATTTCCCCCAAACTCCACCAGTGTTCACATTTGGGCATATTGAGTATTCGTGTAGAGTTTGGTCCAGATCCATCATTGTTTGAGTCCACATTGATCTCTGGATGTAGGTGAACTACAACTCCCAAACCAAAGGACACTGCCCACCAAATCCTTCCAGGATTTTCTGTTGGTCGTGGGAGAACTGTATGCCACATTTGGTTCAATGCCATAATTGGTGGAGTTCAGAATGCTCTTTGATTGTAGGTGAACTATACATCCCAGCAACTACAACTCCCAAATGACAAAATCATAATTTTTGGAGTGATGGTCACTCCTTGTGTTGTGAGACGTTTTGTTGCCAAATTTGGTGTGATTTCGTTCATTGGTTCTTTTGTTTTTAGGGAACTCATTATGCACAGAGCATTTATATATATATAGATTAGCATAGTACAATATCAGTATTATATATTATTATATTGTACTATGCCATTATATTGTAATATTATTAGTAATATTACGTGTAATATAAATATTTAAAAATAATATCATATTATTATTAGTAGTAGTAGTATAGTGCATTACATTATAATATTACAAATTGAGCCATGGCGTCAAACCGAATTGATTTGCATAGGTGAAACGGCGTTCTTGAAATAGATGCCTTGACTAGTATTTCAGCATATTTCCCAGTCACTCCCAGGCTGATGTTATCATCCTGGGTCTCATTACCTCATTCCTTGGGTGGTGGGCAGTGCGGTGTTTGGGGAGAACATACATGTTCATGGCGCTCGCTGTAACCTGAAATCATAGAGTTGGAAGAGACTTCATGGGCCATCCAGTCCAACCCCATTCTGCTAAGAAGCAGGAAAACTGCGTTCAAAGCAACCCCGACAGATGGCCATCCAGCCTCTGTTTCAAAGCCTCCAAAGAAGGAGCCTCCACCACACTCCGGGGCAGAGAGTTCCACTGCTGAACAGCTCTCACAGTCGAAGTTCTTCCTCATGTTCAGGTAGTTTGTAGTTTGAAGCCAGTGCTCCATTGCATCCTAGTCTCCAGGGCAGCAGAAAATAAGTTCGCTCCCTCCTCGCTATGGCTTCCTCTCACATATTTATACATGGCTATCATATCCCCTCTCAACCTTCTCTTCTTCAGGCTAAACATGCCCAGCTCCTTAAGCCGCTCCTCATAGGGCTTGTTCTCTAGACCTTTTATCATTTTAGTCGCTCTCCTCTGGACACATTCCAGCTTGTCAATATCTCTCTTGAATTGTGGTGCCCAGAATTGGACACAATATTCCAGGTGTGGTCTAACCAAAGCAGAAGAGAGGGGTAGCATTACTTCCCTAGATTTAGACACTATTTGTTTGTCTGTGCCCCAAATTTAGTCTAGATCCAAAGTCAGCTGGGTTCAGTGGGTGCGGGTGAATTACAACTCCCATATATAATTCCGACTCCGGGGAGTCGTAACCATTGAAGCCTTTCTGGCGCAGCATCTGCACGTCAACAACAACAAGGTTGGCCTCCTGGACAGAGTCATCAGGGGTCCCCAGAGATCATCCAGTCACACCCCAGGAGGGCAGGGGTGGGGTGGGAAGAGAGCAAAATTGAATTGTAGAAGCATAGATGGATGGATAGAGATAAATAGAATGGATAGATAATAGATAGATAGATAGATAGATAGATAGATAGATAGATAGATAGATAGATAGATAGATAGATTCCAAGAGCTGGAAAAGACCCCGTAAGTTGCTCTATCTATCTATCTATCTATCTATCTATCTATCTATCTATCTATCTATGTCCTTAGATTTCCTCACTCAGACATAGATAGATAGATGGATCCATAGATAGATGACTGGAGAGGGAAAGAGGATAGATAGATAGATAGATAGATAGATAGATAGATAGATAGATAGATAGATAGAGAGAGATAGATAGATAGATAGATAGATAGATAGATAGATAGATGGATAGATATGATAGATAGATAGATAGATAGATAGATAGATAGATAGATAGATAGATAGATAGGAGAAATAGGTAGGTAGGTAGATAGATATAGACAGACAGCTTGATAGATAGAAGATAGATAGATAGATAGATAGATAGATAGATAGATAGATAGAAGATAGATAGATAGATAGATAGATAGATAGATAGATAGATAGATAGATAGATAATAGATAGATAGATAGATAGATAGATAGATAGATAGATAATGGATGGATAGATAGATGGATGATAGATAGATAGATGGATAGTAGATAGATAGATAGATAGGAAGGATGGATGGATGGATGGATGGATGGATGGATGGATGGATGGATGGATGGATGGATGGAT